GGGGACCTGATTATAGCACTTAAAACCTGGAAATCTCAGATTTTCATGATATGCCACCTTTAAATTAAAATACTTCTGACTTGTGTATTAATTTCTGAAAAGTCCAGAATGTGATGCAGAACAGAATGACCCAATAAGAACTTACAAAGAACATATTAAAATTAAAATAACTTGCAGATTTGAACAGTTTCTCTTTTCACCATCATATTATGGATTTCATTTTAGGCAGAAGTGAGTTTCTGTAGATTTGTCAGACAGTCTGGCTCTCTGATACGTCAACTTTTATTGATATGTACCAGATTGTTCACTTGCCAAAGTCAAACTGTGACAGATATGTCTGTAGCGGCCCAGGGATTATGATCAACCATATTTAAGTCTATTCTATATTTAGTATATTTGTCCTTTCAGTGTTGTGCAGCCTATTGAAAGGTCTATATGTAAAAAAATCTATCTAGACTTTTCAAAGGTTTTATCATTCAATTTTTCTCATTTTATTTATTTATTTGTTGTTGTTTTGAAGTAACTGACTTGACTTTTTTGATAAATCTTCCACAAATGATTTTCTAATACACTCTTAAAAATAAAGGTGCTTCAAAAGGTTTTTCAAGTGATGCCATAGAAGAACCATTTTTGGTTCCACAAAGAACCATTCAGTCAAAGGTTCTTTAAAGAACCATCTCTTTCTTACCTTTTTATAATCTGAAGAACCTTATTTCGCCACAAAGAACCCTTTGTGAAACAGAAAGGTTCTTCAGATGTTAAAGGTTCTTTATGGAACCATTTAGACAAAAAGGTTCTTCTATGGCATCGTGAAGCACCTTTATTTTTAAGAGTGTATACTACCAAAGACTATAGAATACCCAAGACATGTCACTCGTATCATTTTGAATGGGGGAAAATGCAACATGCAAAATGGCCACTCTATCGAAAGAAACCCCGTCTTCTGAATAAAAGAGCCCATCGCTAATCGGTAAAGTCATCATTTACACTAGTGCGTTTTCATTTTAAAACGCATAACTTTTGCTATGGTTACGCCTGTCCTTTACACTACACCCTTGCATTTTTGTTTGTGTAGTGTGGACAGAGAACGTTTCTGAAATGCTGTTAAAACGCAAGTGTAGACGAGGATCGTTTTCAATTTACAACGCCATTTTAAAACAAAAAAGCATAGTGTAGCCTGAAAAATACGCTTTTTTAACTCCATATGAGCAAAATACATTTTTGAGACAACTGTTGTCAGATTGCATTGGTGATTTCAAATATGAAATTTAATCGTAAGCTTGGTGAGTTTTGGAGAATTTGATGTTTCACCGTTCACAGAGATAGGAGCTGCACTTGCATGCCTAAGAGGCGTTCAATGATGGCCTCCGAGTGGCATGACT